CTCTGTCTTTTTTTTTTGCACGTTCTTCAAAATATCTTCTTTTGTGTTCAGCAGAAGAAAGTCAGTCATGCAGGTTTGGAACAACATGAGGGTGAGTAGATGATGATGGCAGAATATAAATTTTTGGGTTAAGCATTTCTGAATCTTTCTGAATCATTACATTTCCTTCCAATTCCCATTCCTAATTCTTCAGTAGCACAAATCAGGAGCGGTTGTGATAGACTAAATAGACATTAGAGTTAAAATTCTCCACATTTTTATGCATGCTTTAGTCAGCAAGGAGGCCTCGGGCTCAAACCATAGTACAAAGTGGGATTCTGAGACCATAATAGGATATATGGCTTACATACTGTGAGTTCTGCCTGTGAACTTGCCATCACCATGGAGACTCTTTTCATCTGCTTGCAGTCTACGTGAACGATTGGTTAAGCCTTCAGGAGATCTCATTGGTTTGTTTGGTTTATGCACTTGCAATGGCTCCTTCAAAGGAGCCTTCAAGTATCTTCCAAACCATACCTTCTGCTACTAAATCCCTTGCTAGGATCTACATTTGACCTAACAAGCTGCACAAAACCAGCCCTTACCCATTATCTCAGGAACCATCAGGAATATTTTGCGCTCTCACTGGGGGGCCCATTGGCACTTCTCCAAAAACGTACCGTTGAGAAAAATGGTTACATCCTCTTATTGTTTGCTTGGACTTGTTCCATCTCCAGATCAAGCCTACATTTCCGCTGAATAATGACTATTATGGCTAAATGGCAGGTCATAAGAGCTCTGTGAGGAATGGCTGTTGTCAGAGCGTTCTTCAACCTTGGAAGAGGCTCTCGCCCTTCACAGTCTTGAAAAAACCACTCAGTGTGCTCTCATGTCTTTTGAGGCCAAATCCCAACATCTTTTTAGGGCTTAAAGGCTCTTCCTTCCAGATTTATGATATTGATGGAACGGTGCCTAGAGGCTTGCGTGTGTTGTTATTTCTCAAATCAATCAGTTTTTAGTCAAAGAATCATCCAGTACGATTATCTAGTACATTATGTCGATGTTGTTTTGTTGTGATGTGCGTCCTTTTTAGACAAAGGATTTGGACAGATGCAATGACATTCTGTTTCTCGTCAGGATCCCCCCTCCACTCCTGGCAAAACAACATGCAATACCAGTGCAACAGTGTAAGCCTTGGCAATGAGAAAATGCAATAGTCTGGTAAGATTTAAATGAATAAAATAACACTGAAACAAACAAGTCTGTTACTGCGCCTCTCATACTTTAATGCTATTATCCTATTTCATGCTGAACCACCCTCTTGAGGATGAAAAGTGCACGGTTTAGCAAATCCCATGAAGTTTTGTGGAATTTGTTTGTGACAGCGTTATGGATGTGGGCTTGCTTATCTGCTTTAACAGGGAAACTGTAATAGTGGAACACGAAGCACAATGATAGATTTATTCTCAGATATTTCCAAACCAGCATTAAAGGAAAGAAACACTCGATAGTCAGCTGACTTCAAAGACAAGTTCCTAACAGAGATGGAACCTTTTTTTTTTTTTTTTACACTGATTTAGCATGTAAACAGTGCAATACGCAAACAAATATTGAGTAAAATAGTCAGTTTTTAACCCTTTTTTAATTAAAGAATTTTTTGTATTTTAAAAGTAACATTGACGAAATTGAACTGTATTGTAAAATATAACTTTTTCTTGATGTGTTTGATGCCATGCTTATTATTTATTTATTTATTTATATAAAATATGTGGTTGGTTTATTTTTAAACCATTGTTGATAATGTTTGTGAATAAAATTGATATAGTTTTATTCACATATTTGTTTACAAATAAATGAGCAATAAGCATTAATAACAACATCAAGAAAAACAGTAACTCAAACTCTTAATATGTAAACTCATAATTTTTAACTTATTTTAAAATGCTTCAAGTAATCAGTTTACTCGTTATTTATGTGAGTACTTGACTGCAACCCTGTATTATTTCATCACCATTATTTCATAATTTAATTCTTTACAGCAGATACTTGCCAATAATATTGCACTTCATATTTCCTTTGCTTGTTGCATCATTCTCTCTTTCTGCTTGAATCTTCATATTACACTAGCAACCCACCGGTCCCTCGTGATGTAAGCTCTCTTGAGGCCTGAACTCATTCAGATTCTGTCTTTTCTCTCCCATGCACCCAGTGCTGTTCTTTTCACCCATCTTGCTTGGCAACAGGATGTTTCAGCATCTGTTATCGTGACTCAAAAACTCTCTGTTTTTAGTGACGCAGTGTACCTTACCACAGATTACTCAGACGGAGTAGGAGTAAACCTTTCTCCCAGATTTGAGGAGAAAGCCAGTGTTTCGTCCTACAGTAGGTCAAGAACTGAGGCGCTGTGATGTAATGATCTCCATGAGTCACTTCCTGCATGTCCTTTTTGGTTGTTTTATCGCAATCACAAGTGAGAGTCTGAAGGAAATGGAGGGAGGGAAAGTTCTTGGCCAGCATTTGCAGTGGCAGCTAGATCAGTTTGTTCTGGCTCCTTTGAGGAAAAAAAATGTAAGTTGATGTGGTGCACTTCCTTCTGATTGGTGCATCATTTCTGCTATATAAAACGTCTGACTATTGACTAGTTCATTTTTGGATAATATCACCCTTATGCCACTTCAAACCAAGCTTGGTTAGCATGAATCCAGTTCATTGAAACCAAATACCATTGGTACTTGGCTTGCATGTAATTGAACTTGGTGATCCAAGTTTGATCGTGTGTAAGTGTGAATAGGAACTTTTATTTACAAAAAAAAGTAATTTTTTTACAAAAAATTAACAGAAAATTAGGGTGTATGATAGAAATTTGTGTATTTTGATGTGCTTTTTTTGTTTTCAGAATTACATTTTGGAATGTAAGGAACAATATACAATTATCTTTTAATTAGGAAAATACCATATGCATAAGAAGTGTATGGAAGCTTGTTTCTGCCATAGGATGAAAAAAGTAATTGCTACTTTTTATCTCACAATTCGGACTTATTAACTTGTAATTCTGAAAAAAGTAGTCAGAATTATAACTCACAATTGTGAGATAAACTTGCAAATCTGAGAACAAAAGTCTGAATTGGGATATATAAACTCGCAATTGCAAGGAAAAAAGTCTGAATTATGAGATAAAGTCACAATTACCTTTTCCTTTTTTTCTATCAGTGGCAGGAAAAAACACAATTGCGTGAGATTAACTCGGAATTGCAAGAAAATCGGTCATAATTCTGCAGAAATCTCACAATCCTGACTTTTTTTCCCTCAGAATTGCACATTTATATCTTGCAATTCTGTATACATCTGAGTTCATTTTAAAAATTACTTAATACTTAAACTTTTTTGAGCAAGCTAAAAACAAAAAAACACTGAAAACACATTTTTAAAGGACTGAAATTTGTGTAACGTTTTTTGTTTGTTTGGCAGCTGATGTTGTTAATAATGTGGTTATATAATACCTCTTGTTCTTGTGGCATTGGAAAAAAAAAACACAAAACCCCAAATTTTCCCAGTAGGAAGGCTAATTTACATCTTTTGATGTGGACACACCATTGCCACTCAATGCTGCCGTTTCCCACACTTGTTTCCAACACAAACACACTCCCTTCCCCCGTTCACTTCATGTCTCGTGCCCTGGAGCCCAACCATATGTAACCTCACATCTGGAGTTCTGGTTTAGCCAGGCCTGTCTGGGGTTAAACATAATCGACGGTAGATGACCCAGTCTGGAGTTACTCCTCGGTCACTGCAGAATCTGTTCAGTCTTTGGCAGGATTAGATTTCAAGCGTGGTTTGGAACGTTTTACAGTTTAATGTGTGCTATATGCGATAATCGGGGCTACTAAGTTTGTTCAAAAAGCCACTGAACTCTTCAGTTGTGGGGAATGTTTTAATAAGCTCCTTCAGCAACTTTGCTTATTGTTTGATGAACATTTAGCAACTTATGTTTAGCATTGACGTTAAGTACCATGCAGCCTAACAATGTCATACAAGATCTTGTCCTCCTTCCTCAAATCTATTTACTTGGCTAAAACAGGTTTTATGTGTAATCAGTGCTTCGTTAAAAATGATGGCAAATCATTTTATGTCGTTCATAATCATGGAAATATGCTAATGCTGAAAATGGTCATAAAACATTTCCCGTTCTGTCTGGTAAGAACAGCTGTTTTGCTTAGCAAGAGCATGATAACATGCTTTTTTTTATCAGACTTTGAGAAAGGTAGCTAGGATCTTCTTGATTAGCATTAGCTAGACCTGTCTTAAAAATACTGTTTTTAGCTTTATTTGAGACAAGAAGCACTATATAAACTAACATTCAAAAGTTTGGGGTCATGAATTTTTTTTAAATTCATTAAGGATGCATTAAATAGATTTAAAAAAGCAGCAAGTATATTAATATTGTTACAAAAGATTTCTATTTAATATAAATAAATGTTGCTCAAAGATTCCAGGAAAAAAGTATCACACTTGCCATAAAAATATTAAGCAGCACAACTGTTTTCAGCATTGATCATAATGACAAATGTTTCTTGATCGGCATATTAGAATGATTTCTGAAAGATCAAAAATTTCTGAAGTGACACTGAATACTGGAGTAATGATGCTGAAAATTCAGCTTTACCATCACAGGAATAAATTACATTTTAACATATTCAAATAGAATACAATTATTTTAAATTGCAAAATAATATTATTGTAATACTTCACAATATTAAAATTTTACTGTCTTTTTATCAAATAAATGCAGCCTTGGAGAGCATAAGCACTTCTTTAAAACGCATTAAAAAAAAATCTTACCAACCCCAAACTTTTGAACAATGCATGATACCTTTTTTTTCAGATTTTACTCCTTATACAATTAAGATTTTTACTTACATCACAGATTCATTGGTCATTGCAACATACAGTATCCTCAGAAAACTATTTAATGTGTACAAATCTTTAAAACAAATAAAAATTGACATGTTATTTTCTTGCAGCTGTGTTGAGGTAGAAGAGCACCATGCTGTGGACATAGACGTTTACCACTGTCCTAGCTGTGACGTCCACCATGGACCATCTCTGAGTACGTATCCACTTTTTGGACTTTTTGTTTATAAGACTAATCAGATGGAGACTGGAACTGGTTTAAGAGGATTCACAGTATGTCTAGTCAGCTGAACCGTTGTGATCAACAAGCAGTGGTGCACAACAGATGTTTGTGGCATTGTGGTAGTCTAGTGATGACTGCGGTATTGTTCTGAGGCCAGCCATATTAAATTCTCTCTGCCTGAATTTACAGTGAAGAAGCGAAGAAACTGGCACAGACACGACTACACCGAGCCAGATGACGGCAGTAAGCCAGTGCAGGCTGGCACCTCTGTGTTTGTGCGGGAGCTGCAGACAAGGACCTTCCCCAAGTACGTGTGCCAGCTGTGGGAAACCAACACCATCATGACAAAGCACTCCAGCGCTTGGTGCTGCTCATTATGCCACATTATACATATGGGCACAACTAATGTTCTTCTTTGAAAACCAGTGATTATTGTGGCATTTTCTAGAAATCTGTTTAGTGCGAGTCAGGACTAAAGTTAAAGAAATAGTTTGCTCTTTGAAGCTTCACAAAGAATGCAAAAGAACCATAAAAGTTGTCCATACAACATGTACTCTACACTCATTTTCAGCAGCCATAAATCCAGTCTTCAGTGTCTTACAATCGTTCAGAAATCATTCTAATATGCTGATTTGGTGCTTAAAGGGGTCATCGGATGCAAAATTCACTTTTGTTTTTGTTTGAACATAAATGTGTGTTGGAAGTGTGTGTACACATCCCCCCTATAATGATAAAAATCCTCCCAGTGTTTTTTTTTTTTTTAAATCCCTATTTTAAAATCCCCTTTCTCAAATCAGGCTGTTCTGAGGTTCCTGTCAGAATAATGTAGTTCTGTACAGACCCCTCCCACGATAGTTGATTGACAGTAGCATTTCTACCATTGAGAAATTTTAACCAAAGTATGTTATAGACTTTTCATTAAGACCCTAAATAATCATATCAACTTGTGGAAAATGGGCATCCAATGACCCGTTTAAGAAACATTCATTATTTCCAGGATTCTTTGATGAGTACAAAAAAATTCGAAATAACAGCATTTATTTAAGAAAGAAATCAACTGAGCTCTAAACCATTATATTTGTGCATTGGACATTGATACTTCTTTCATGAATACACTGAAACAGCTTGGGCATATTCAAGAATTTCAGAGAATAAACTTCAGGTTTTTTTCAATTCTTGCTTGAATAGTTCGTGCTTCTTGTTGCTCAGATCTGCTCTCTAATCAGTAATTCTTCTGTGTTTTAATCTGCAGTGGAGATGAGATCTTGCAGCCAATGCAGGGCAGTCAGGTCACCCAGAGGTATCTGGAAAGGCATGGCTTCCGCTATCCCATCGCTGTACACAAAATGGAAGGGCTCGGCCTCTGCTTACCTCCACCGGATTTCTCCGTCAAGGATGTCGAGCGCTATGTCGGTAAGGAGGGAGAGTGGAATCAGTTACTGTCATCCTTTTCACCCTGTTTCTTTCACCTTTACCCATTGTGCTCTACATTATAGCCATTGAGCAGCAGTGCTTCATGGGTTTAAATATTAATTCCATTAAGAGTTGTCTCATTGTAATGGAGTTGCATTACAGTCCAGCCACTGCGGAGATCAGATGTTAATCTTAGGTGAGTCAGATGGGTCTAACCTTTTAGCAAACATTAATCAACCTGTAATGAGATAAGAGTGCAGATAAAAGTGGTGTTCCTTACACCAGCCTAGCAGGCCTCATCTCATTGAGAGCCTGGTCCTTATAGTGTCTGGTTACACAGTCAGTATATCTTCCCCACTGAGCTTTGTCCGTAAATTTTAGGTTACAGCTCACTCCTCTACCTCTCACATTTGTGTGTATAATGTATTATCGCGATACACACAGCGATCAGCTGCTCCATTTGGGTCCTGAGGGGGAGCCTGCGGCCCACTGGGAATGGAAGTGTGATTATATTGGACTTAAAGTGAGGTGACAAAAGGTTTGCTACTGCTGCACCTTCTGGTGACCCCATAACTTCTGTCAGGCTGCTACTAATGTATTTAGCCATTTAAGCTAGCAACCCGCTAAGTGTTTTTTTCACAGATTTTTAAAAGTTAGCCTCATTTACCTGGAATTCACACCGAATAATATTGTGTGACCCAACAAATATGGTTCAAACTTTTCGTCACAACCTCTTTATCCCCGATTTCCTCTGTAAACACTTTAGCACATTTCAAATATTAGCACAAAATGCTAATTGTTGACAATTTCGCTCTAAATTCTGCAAAAACATGCTGATTTGCTGGCAAAATTAGCTATTGAGATGCAAGACAGAGAATTTGTGAGAAATGTCAGAGATGCTTGTCTGTACAGTTTTCTAAGCAACGTAAGTGTGACTTTTTAGCAACAACCATCAATAGGTGCGACATTCCTTAAGCTGCATTCACACCAGCAGCGTTTTCTTGCAGCTAAATAGAAACATATTGGAGGCAAAAGACTAAATATAATATAATTAATATAATATATAAATCTGTACGTAAAAACAAAAATGAATGAGAAACAGAGCCTGCTCTTTTCCATCGCGTATGTTTATCTACGGCAAAAACGCAAACAGCGTCACTGCCAGAGCTGAGAGGAGAACGATCACATGAGCTCTACCATCTTCTTTCCTATTGGCTGTCACTCCCGAAAGTCACTCTTCATTTGCATAAAGTTGAAGGATTCTCAACTTTGTCGCATCGCTGGACATGCCCCATCCGGTCGCCAATGGTCGCTGTTGCTCGTGTCGCCGGAAATCGCCAGCTCTGAATTGAAATTAATAGGATCGTGTCACTTTGACGTTGCGCGTTGCTTGTAGTGTGAACGGGGCTTTAGCGTCAATTCATTTCAAGTTGGTTTCTAAACAGTGATCCATCAAAATGAAATTCAGGTTTTCATTTAGCTGAAGACTGGAACTGAAAATAAAATTTTGGTAATTAAATTTGGGTAACTGGATAATTGAACTCTTTATGCTGTTCAGGGTTTCATATACTCGGGTGATAAATTAAACCAGTTGTAGTAAAGTTCTTTGGCAATGATCTCTCTATATATTAGAACAAATTTTACAGGTACTTTAGCATAATTTTTGGTCACAGTAAAGTGCATCCATACTGCTAACCTGTTGTAGCTTATCCATGTTGTGCACATGAAATAGACACTGAAACAGTCAAAACTCGTCATTGGCACTAATAAAACGTCAGTCGACCTGTTTAACTATTTTGGCCCAAACTAATTTCTTGTTTTCGGGCTGAATATTTTTAGTCACCAAAATTTTGGTGCATTCCCATTATTTATTCTGTTTAGCATGCAAAGGATAAAGCTTAAATTAATTTAAATTTAAGAAGTGTGCTATTTTAAGTTGAAAGTCTGACAACATGCCTGCCAAAAAAATAAAAAAGTTACGAATTTTAAAGTTAACTGCAGTGACGTTACGTCTGGAGCTCGCACTAAAAGCTCTAGCTTTCATCCTTAATGCACTTCTGACTGCCAACTGCAGGCTAGCTGCCCAGCTAATTCAGTTACTTCAATGGGCATCTTGCCTGCATGGCTCTCCAGCCAACAAAATTGAACACTGTGGGGTTTTTTTCTACATTGCCTTTTCCTTATAATGACGAACCGCACTCTCCACCTGCTTTTGTGAAAGCCTCTTTTGTCCCTCATTGCTTTGGAAACGTGCTTTTGAGATCATAAAATAAATTTTATGTCTCCAGAACTATTAAAATGTTTGTTGTTAGTGGATAAAAGGAGTAATTAATAGCATAAATGCTTTAATTTATACACATATAAACACTTATTACAGTCTTGGAGCTTGGGGTGCTTGGATTTTTAAATCAAACCCATATTTGTTGTAGCCACCAGTGTGCATTTGAATTCATAAAGGATCCAGTAGACATTTTTATTGGCAGTGTTGCAAGTCATGTTGATGTACCTGATCCCAGAACAGCAATAAATGATCTCTTTATGGTCTTCTTTGTGGGATGAGTCTGTTTCTGGCTAGATACACTAGGGTGCCGTTTGTGTACACAAGCACCAGCTGTCCTGCTTTGTTTTTGAGGCTTTTCCCAGCAGCTTTCTGATGGGTTCTGATGTTCTTCCTGCCAGTTGTCTCTCTCACAGTTATAAACGTCAGCTGATTTCTTGTGAAGAAACATCAAATGAAGCAGATCTTTCACTGGAGCATCTGAGGAGAGATGACCCTGGGAAACTTTTTAGTGCCAAAAGGCAGTCATTCTTTCATTTAAAATTTGCTTTATAGCCATTTAATGATGTTGATTATTGCAATTTATCCTGCTGAGTTTGTTTGGGTAATGATATTTGTTTTTGGTTGCTGTTCCTTTGATGCCCGCACATGCACATCACTCAACTTGCTCCCTTTGCTTACAGGAGGCGACAAAGTGATTGATGTCATCGATGTGGCCAGGCAAGCAGACAGCAAGATGAAACTGAGTGCATTTGTGAAGTATTACTACAGCCCTCAGCGGCCCAAAGTCCTCAACGTCATCAGTCTGGAGTTTTCAGACACCAAGTTAGTATTGTTTTAAAGCGCCGAATTTGTTACGGCTGATGTTGAACACAAAGGTGCTTTTCCTCGGTGTGGAGAAATGTTCATTGTGATTCCAACCTTGCACTCAGGATGTCAGAGCTGGTGGTGGTCCCTGATATCGCTCAGAAGATGTCTTGGGTGGAGAACTACTGGCCTGATGACTCTTACTTTCCCAAGCCCTTTGTGCAGAAGTACTGCTTAATGGGCGTGAAGGACAGTTATACCGACTTCCATATTGATTTTGGGGGCACATCTGTGTGGTACCATGTCCTGTGGGTAAGTGCACATTATGAGCGTTTGAACTTTCTATTCATTAGAGAATCTTGACAAAAAAATGTATCATAGTTTCCATAAAAGTTTAAGCTGTACAGCTGTTTTCAAAATAAGTAATGCCTAATTGCCCTCACAGGAATAAAGTACATTTTATAATGTATATCAAAATAGAAACCAGTTATTGTAAATTGTAATAATATTTCACAATATTACAGTTTTTACTGTTTTACAAATAAATGCAGGCTTGGTGAGCATGAGAGGCCTGTTTCAAAAACATTAAAAATCTTCTGACCCCAAACTTTTGAATGATACTGTACCATATTATTTTTTTAAAAAAATTATTTGACACCAACTAGAATATAGGGATAATAAATTACTTCTTAATTCTCTTCCCTGTAGGGGGAGAAGATTTTTTACTTGATAAAGCCCACTCCAGCCAACCTTGCACTATATGAGGAGTGGAGCTCGTCTCCAACCCAGAGTGAAGTGTTTTTCGGGGAGAAAGTGGACAAGTGCTACAAGTGTGTCGTGCAGCAGGGAACAACACTTCTGATCCCTACAGGTTAGTACATTATTTTATTTTATTTTAATAAAAAATAAAATTATTTAATTATTTATTTATTATTTTAAATGGTGATAATAAATTAGCATTCTTATAAAATAAAATGAAATGGCATAATTTTTATTTTTTATGAAGTTCTAAAATAAATTCTATTTGTATTATGTATATTTGTATTATGTATTGTCATGTCATTCACATGAGATTGTAATAGCAAACGACAATGATCCAATCAATTTCCGAAGGACAAAATCAAGTCACGCCTTATATTTCCTTTCTTGTTTGAGAAGCTGTTTTACTCTGTATACATCACAACAGGAAAGAAAAGATTATCGCAACTTCAGCTTCATGCTGACTTTAAGCCAACCTGGCATAGCAACAGACTTAACCAATGGTGTGAGTTTGGGGCGGGGCTACTGTTTGAGTGAAAACCTGCTTTAAAACAATCATTATTTTATTTGCTAGTAGTGCAAAAAGTAAGTATTATGTTTATCTCAGGACTTTTTACTGACAACCGATGTTGGCTCAAGAGGAACTGTAGAGGAACTGGTATTCCACTTTGTAGAGCAGCTGACTTTAATGGCAGTTCCACAGGAAAGCCAGGGCTGATTTGTGCTCTTCGTTTCAGGTTCAGACGTAGCAGGAACAAGCAGAAACTCTTACCACCCAGAAAGCCACATGAATCTTAGCAATGTGTTATCCAGTCTGGTACTAATGGTTCATTAGTGAAGCTCCAAACCCTTTTTTGAGTTACAGTACTCATATGAACATCCAGTATTATATCGTCATCATGACTTCATATCATATATGAAGTCATATAATAAGGTATATATGGGTGGCATCATAAATCTGAATGTTTTATGAAACCCCACACTCAAAATGATCAGGTCAGGATACGTGGTCTTCAATGAATCTGGTTCCCAGCTGTGTTGATGGCACTAGCAGACCAGTTTAAGACCGTGAGATTCTGCACGTCCCCCGCTGTGAGACAGACTTCAAAAGTCCTACAAAACCTACGGTATTAAAGTTGCTCATTGTCGGGGCTCTGCCTTTGAATCTAATGTATATTTGTGCATTCCAACCCTTTGCATGTGGCCTATATGTTTGAGCGTAGACAGGACGTCGTGGATGTAGTTGACAGACTGGTTGTTTGGTGGGCTCTGCAGTGGTCTTTAAACACTCTGGGGGTTTGATTCAGCTCAGCAGATCTCAGTTAGCCATATAATCGCTGCAGTGGATGACCCACCCAGCACATGTATGTCAACTTTTGGTTGCCATTATGTTGAAAGTTCTGTGCATTTATACAGTTTGGTGTACAAGCATGTTTTTTAGGTGTTGGTGTGATATTACTATGAATTGAAAGTCTAAATTGTCCAAAACATTTCTGTGGATTTTGTGAAATCTCTCTCGGTCCAGCTTTGCTGTACAGCGGATATGAATGGCTCACTGTCGGCTAAGGGACAGCTGCAGTTCAGACCAGATGTCTGGATGTGTTTGCATCTGTTGGTCAGCTGTTGACACATTCATGACCTCTCTTGCAGGATGGATCCATGCTGTTCTCACCTCTCAGGATTGCATGGCTTTCGGAGGAAACTTCCTCCACAACCTCAACATAGGCATGCAGCTCAGGTGAGTGAGCACTTTCACTTTTTAAAGACTTCATTCAATCAGAATTGAAGTGCTGTGGCTTTTTATATATTCTGTTAGCTTTGAAAAAAAAAAGTGACGTGACGTTTAGCCAAGTATGGTATCCCATACTTGAAATTTGTGCTCTGCATTTAACCCATCCGATTGCACACACACAGCAGTGCGTAGTGAACACACACACAAAGAACACACACACAGCAGTGGGCAGCCATTTTTGCTATGGCACCCAACTCAGGGAGCAGTTGGGGGTTCGGTGCCTTGCTCAAGGGTCTCACCTCAGTTGTGGTATTGAGAGTGGAAGAGAGCGCTGGTCATTCACTCCCCCCATCTACAATCCCTGCCAGTACTGAGACTCGAACCCGCGACCTTTGGGTTACAAGTCTGACTCTGATTTTAGCATATATACATGTTTTTTGTTTATTTTTTTACTTGTATACATATTTTTATCCCAGAAATTATCTTCTAGAAGGAAATGTCCTTAACAGCATAAAATTATTATTATTATTATCATTATTATTATTATTATTATTATTATTATTACAAAAGAACAACAAAGCAAAAATTGTATTTGAAAAAAATTTAATGTTGCTAATAATAGCAACAACAACAATAATAATAATAATTATTATTATAAATATTATTACTACTACTGCTGTAACAAAATAACAACAAAGCAAAAATGGAAGTGGAAAAAAATGTTAATCACAACAACAATAATAATAATAATAATAATGTTAGTTTATTTATTTTTATTTTATTCTGTTAGGGTTCTTTTTTTTATTTAGACAGATTTAGAGAAAAAAACTAAACATTGATATTAATATTAATCATAATAATAACAAAATGGCAAATACCGGATAAATATACTAAATATGGTTAAATACTGATGACTTGTATTTATTAGCCACATATTGGTTATAACTAAATAAACAACAATAATAGTAATAACAAAAAAAAAACGCAACAAAGCAAG